CATGAATTCGTAACCATAAAGAAACAACTGTAAGACAAAACGTAGTTAAAAAGGCAGCTTGAAATTATGGTGGTATAAATAATAAATAAACCTGCCCCCACCTCTATTCCCCATCCCCCCCACACACTACAGTGGGCGACATCTGTTGAACCATAGCATTTCCCCAGCTGTTTCGAAACTTCAGAATCAAGGCTATTCGAAACCTCACTGGCTGGGTAGTGGACACGACTTTTGTCCACCATAGCACTACAGTATATGGGAATGAAAACAATTCCTGTTTTGATTGGTTTCATTATTCTTTTAAAATGGCTTTTCACTGCAGTATGGAATATTAGATATGAGCTTTGAACCTGTCCTCACCGTACTAGGTGTAGGTTATGTATATAAGCTTACCAGCCGAGTAGCAACCCTGTGTATAAGCTACTGTGCCGAGTAGCAACCCTGTATATAAGCTACTGTGCCGAGTAGCATTTATATATATCATCACGTGGCAACACTGCACGTTATGTGGCAACATTCGAGGCTGGCTGCCATATGGCAAGACAGCCTCAATCTGACTGTGTGAGCCGTGCATGCACACGCTGAGTCACCACTTGTATTTCTCTCTCATCCATAATAAATGGACTCAGTGTTACCTAGTGTTTCCCTACCCATCACCGTATTCCCTAGGGAACACTTCCATAGTAACCACCATGGCGTGCAGTAATAGGATCTGTGGACTTACAAGTGTGTGAACAATGCCGAGACAAGTTATGCCTGCCGGTGATGCGCTGCTGACCTGGTGTTAAAGTTAGGGTTGCGCTGTGTTCGTCGCGATGTGTGCAGGGTTGGGCCGTCACAGTGCTTTTTTAGTGACGGTGGCAGTGTTAGTGTCAGTATTAGTGTGTCTAGAGCTGAGAGTTGAGACAGTATGTTTGTGGTACCCACGGAGCACGCAGCCAGACACCCTTCTCGCTGTGGTGACATCCCGGTGATATTGACGGGTTCCCCACTCCCCCGCCGCTGCCTCTAGCCACGGGCATTAAGGCCACCACGCTCTCTCAGACACACACACACACGCACGCACGCACTCACTCACGGACAGAACAGTGGACTCTATGCGTTATTTCTGCGCTGTTTATGTCATATATATGTGGTTCGAGCTGTTGAGGCGCCACTTTATATACTAAACAGTGCAGTCCACGCACACACTAAGATGGGAGGTAAGAAGGGACAACGTCAAGATGGGAGACACGACTCCCCACCACCTTCCCCTCCACCGGGCGCAGACTCTCATCCTCCACCTCCAGTGACGGACATTGCCACAATTCTGAGGTGGATGGACGACCGGGACGAGCGACGTAGAGAAATGGAATTTCTGAGGGAGGAGATACGAAGAGAGGAGGAAAAGTTGCGTTTTGAGGCATTATTGGCGACCCTAGCGCTAACACCACCCTCCCTCACTCGCAGGTAGCGCGCACCAAGGCGCCAGTACCCTCCCTCCTCCACCACACCAACGTCCTCCAGGTACTCTTGCTACTCCAACAGCTCCCAAGGCATCTGTTCAACCCCACCCGCCCTCTCACCAGACGTCACGTTTCAGCTTTTTCGTGAGTGGAGGCGGCGGTGGACAGATTACTCCACGATGGTGGACCTTAATAGCATGCCTCCAAACAAACAGCTCATCCAACTGCGGATGTGTTTGTCGCTGGAGACCCAGAGAGTTTTGGAGCACACATTGCAAGTGCCTCCCGATTCTACGTCTTCAGTGACGGATGTGCTCGACCTTTTACAGGTGCATGTTAAAGGACGGAATAACGAGGCTTTGCGTCGCCGCGCCTTCACCAGCTGCAAGCAGGCGGAGAATGAATCCTTTGACGACTTTTTTGTACGCTTGAAGAGTTTGTCAGTGGAGATCGACGTCTGCAAGGCGCACAGCCGGGAATGTGAGGAAGCCTGGATCAAGCACGGGATCTTGACAGGTGTCAGGCAGGAAGAGTTGGTGCAGCGACTCATCCCCCTGGACGCTTCCTCCACACTCCAGGTGGTAGTGACTGAATGTTGGTCATACGAGGCCACCAAGTCCGCCACCTCTGCCTTACGGGCCCCACCTGCTGTGAGAGCTATCTCACAGTACAAGAAGGGTAAGAAGGCGGCCAACAACGTGAAGGCTGCCACACGTTCTTTCACGCCTCCTCCTAGTGCTTCCTGTGGCAGCTGTGGAAAGCAGCATGGCCCCAAGACATGCCCGGCCGTCGACGCACTGTGTCGTGGATGTGACCGTAAGGGCCACTGGTCTAACACAGACAGTTGCCCGGCACGAGGCCACAAGTGTCAGGCCTGCGGTCGCTATGGACACTACGACAAGTGCTGCCGCCAACCCAAGCCCAAAAGCCCGAGACGAGGAGGAAAGCAGCTCACTTCCCTCGGGGTGGTTCGCACGCAGCCCCCTTCAGATGGCCCACACAGCCCCAAACAGCAGCTGAGTCACATCAGGAGGGTGGAATCGACCACACGCCCCAGGGCTACCCCTTCCCCTACCATTCGCGTCGACGTCACACACGGTGATGTGTCGGGTCACATCGAGGTGATACCGGACACCCGCGCCGATACTACGGTGATTGGGTTGAAGCACCTCCAGAAACTGGGCCTCACCAAACGTGACCTGGGACCACCGCCGCAGCTGCTGTACTACAATGCGGACGGTTCCCAGATGCCGGACGCTGTGGGCTCCTTTCAAGCGGAGATCACTTACGGCGACAGGTCGTGTCACGGATGGATCGACGTGCAGCCTACTCTCGCTACACCCTTGTTGTCGTGGGAGCACCTCAAGGAGTTATGCGTGGTACCCAGAGACTTTCCCGAGCAGATCCCAGCTGCTCGGTACACCGCCAGCAGGGTGCGTGAATCAACGAGCGACGCACCTGGTGCTGCCACACAGAGCTGTCCAGAACCCACGTCCACTCCCACCCATACAGGACGCTCCCCTGCCCAGATCCTGTATGATCACCCTCTCCGCTCTTGCGTTTCTGCACACACCAAGGCCTTTGCGAAGGACTGGCACACCAGAGCCGAGAGCTGCGACCGCCGCGCCGCTACACGTGCCCAGGACGCCAAGGCTCGGTATGACGACCATGCCCGCTCTCTTCAGCCAGTGGAGATTGGTGCCCTTATCCGCGTCCAGGACCCGACGACGACACGTTGGGACAAGGTGGGCATAGTGATGGGCGTCGGCCGGTCGCGGGACTACAAGGTCAGGATGCCGAGCGGCCGTGTCTGGTGGAGGAATCGCCGCTTCCTCCGGCCAGTCCCACCCCCTGCTGCTGGTCCCCTGACTGAGGACGAGTCACCTACACCTCACGAGGATCTGCCCCACAGTGCACCTCGACGCTCGGAGCGACTTAGGACTAAGAAGTCCGCTCAAGACAAAGACTATGAGCGTGAGGGGGGAGGGAGATGTAGGTTATGTATATAAGCTACTGTGCCGAGTAGCAACCCTATTTATAAGCTACTGTGCCGAGTAGCAACCCTGTATACAAGCTACTGTGCCGAGTAGCATTTATATATATCATCATGTGGCAACACTGCACGTTATGTGGCAACATTGCCCCGAGGCTGCCATATGGCAAGGCAGCCTCAGTCTGACTGTGTGAGCCGTGCATGGCACATGCGAGTCACCACTTGTATTTCTCTCATCCATAATAAACGGACTCAGTGTTACCCAGTGTTTCCCTACCCATCACTGCATTCCTCAGGGAACACTAGTAACCACCACTAGGTGCCTTGTTGATGCCTTCCCCTGAAATACATACAAGAACTGGTGCTCAGTACATGCTCCAGAAATACACTATTTCAAAAAAGTTCAACAAACAACCTCCTGCATGCAGGAGGGACCGGCAGAATGAAAAAAACAGCAACAGTATCATATGATGCCTTCAGCTTCTTTCCAAATATAGTTCATAGTGGCTAGTGTTAATTCCAGACAGAGATACAGAGAAGTGAAGGTGATGAGTTGGAACATCTCATCCCCCAGAAAACAATACCCTGGGGACATCGATATTGTGTCTGCAGGAGTGTCTCACGATAGTCTGCCCAATTATGTGTATTATGATCCTAGTTCTACTCATACATGTCTAATGTATGTAAAGAAATAATTACCACATGTACTTCTTGTATCAA